TGTTAAGCCATCTCTTTATTCTGCAGACTGAGAAACCTGATTTTTCATTCTCAGGGGAAGACTCACATTAACCAAGTTCAAAGTACTTATGTATAAATCCATAATGTCTGTGCACTGGTTTCAAGTGAGTCATATAGCCCTCACTCAACCAGGGCCCTTGAGGCATGATCTTTAGGCTCTCACCCTGGAAGCAGGGTCAACAGAGGTAGGGTGGCAGAGGGATTACGCATGTGGGCTTTGAAACTATCAGACCTCTCTTCCCCATTTGTCCTTTTAATTGTGTCAAAATGTATGTAACATAAAACTTACCATTTTAACCATTTTTGTATGTGCAATTCAGTGGCATCAAATGCATCCACAGTGTCATGTAACAGTCACTAATATTTCCAAAACTTTTTCATCATCTAGTACAGAAATGCTGTAACCGTTAAGCAATAACCCCCCATCTGCCACCACCTCAGCCCGTGGCAACCTCTATTCTATTGTCTCTATGAATTTGCCTGTTTAATTACCCCATCTAAGTGCAATCATACAATATTTGTCCTTTTGTGTCCGACTTCTTTCACTTAGCATAATGTCTTCAGGTTCCACCCACGTCAGAATTTCATTCCTTTTTAGGGCTAAATAATATTCCATGCGGTATATCTGAACCTTGTTTTGAATCCCAGCTTGGCTGTGAGACCCAGGACAGCCTGCCTGGTATCTCTCAGTCTCAGAATCTTCTTTGGCAAAAGAATAATAATCTCTATTCTGGTTGATAATGAGATCATATATGAGGGACATATCCAGGATGTAGCTATTCCTTGGGAGGCATGGAATTAGGAGAGTTCAAAGTAACATGATCAGCTAAAGTAACCCCAGGCCTCCATTTCTGCCACGTAAAAGGCCTAACCACCTGGTAAGGGACCCAAATATTCAACACCTATTGGCTAAGATTATGTTTGCTTCCTGGGTTCATCTCCCTTCCCCAACTGCCCCTCCCACCCTGCCTCCACTCACCTCCTTCCATTCAGGCCCAATCATTCTGTAGAGTGATGAATATATGTTCTAGATAAACCATACCAGCACTGGGAATCACTCTCTTCCTGGGCAAATTTATGTATCTCTGATCAAATCTGTTGAGATGTTGGCTTTAAAGTTTAACTCTCTTTTCTTTTTCTCTTTCTCTCTTTCCTCTCTCTTTCTTTCTGTCTCTCCCTCTCTCTCTCTCTCTCTTTCCCTTTCTTTTTTCTTTTTATTGCCCAGACTGGAGTGCAGTAGCATGATCATAGCTCACTGCAGCCTCAATTTCCTGGATTCAAGTGATCTTCCTGTCCAAGCCTCTTGAATAGCTAAGACTAGTCCCAAGTGCATGCCATTATGCCTGGCTAATTTTTAAAATTTTTTTGTAGAGATGGGGTCTTGCTATATTGCCCAGGCTGGTATCAAACCTCTGGGCTTAAGGCATCCTCTTGCCTCAGCCTCCCAAAGTGCTGGGATTATAGGCAAGAGCCACTGTGCCCAGTCTTAAAGTTAAAATCTCAAAGAGAACGAAATCTTAGTTTTATTGTTTTCAAGTTTGGACCAGACAGACCTCTCACCATAATCCCCAAGAACCCACAATAATTACTTGGTAGTCACACTTCATTTTATGAAACTGGGTTGGCCAGGCGTAACCACCCATTCTTTGTCCTCTATCTCTGTTCACTAGACTTGACTTTAAGTGACTTTTGGCATTTGAAAAAAAAAAATCAAATCCATTCTCAAGCACAAGAAGATTTATCACCAGTGAAAACACGTTGACAAATCTGACACAAGCTTCAAGGGCAAACCCAAAAGATTATCAAAAATGTTTTAAGAAATGGCAAGCATCAGAGAAATACGACGACTACTTTGAAAGGGGTAGCAATCATTTGGACAGGTAAATTATATCACAGACTGTCCCTGACCTACGATGGTCTGACTTACGATTTTTCTACTTTACACTGGTGCAAAAGCAATGCCCTTTTAGCGGAAACTGAACTTCCAATTTTGAATGTTGATCTTTTCCCAGGCTAGCAGTATGCGGTACAATACGCTCTGGCAGGGCTGCTCAGCTGTACAGTCATAAGAGCAAACAGCTGTTAGTCTGCAGTGTACTGAATTAAATAAAGTACATGAGCCATTCAACACTCTATGATGAAACAGGCTTGACATTAGATGATTTTGCCCAACAGTAGGCTAATGGCAGTGTTTAGAGCACCTTTCAGGTAGGCTAGGCTAAGCTGTGATGTTTGCTGGGTGCGGTGTATTGAATGTATTTTCGATTTACAGTATTTTCAACTTCCAATGGGCTTACCACGATGTAACCCCACCATAAGTCAAGGAGCATCTCTACATTGCTATTTATTATTCATTTATTTATTTTTATTTTGAGACAGCCTCACTCTGTTGCTGAGGCTGGAGTGCAGTGACATGATCTCTACTCACTGCAACCTCTGCCTCCCAGGTTCAAGAGTTCTCCTGCCTCCTGAGTAGCTGGGATTACAGGCACGCGCCACCACGCCTGGCTAATTGGTTTATTTTTAGTAGAGACAGGGTTTTGCCATGTTGGCTGGGCTGGTCTCAAACTCCTGACCTCACGCAATCTGCCCACCTCGGCCTCCCGAAGTGTTGGGATTACAGGCGTGAGCCATGGCGCCCGGCCAATACATTGCAATTTGAAAAGCAGCCGCACTACCTCATAGTCACAAGTGATCCAGCAAAGCCTCTGTTATTGGGCAGCCGAATACTTACTGGGGGTGGAGCTAGTGCTGGCCACAGCCCATGGCAAACGCAGCATTTACTGGAAGCTTCAGGAGCACCTGTCTTGCATTCTACTTTGTAATTGATCAGCGATGTTCTGAGATGTGCCGCGTTTACTCTGCTGCGTTCTCCTAGAGTAGACGTTCCACCAGGAGTGAAGGAGGGTCTGACGTATCACCTTGAATTCCCTGTTGGTTATAGAGATTGCTTTTTCACGTTTTCAAAGTTCAGTGTGAATGGAAGTACAGACTATGAGGTGGTGTTGATTTATCACGTTGGATTCTCCTGTCGATTTCTATCTGCTGGGGAGGAAGCTTCAAACCCACTCTTCCAGTTTAAGTGGTTTTCATCAGTGAAATGATGGTCGTCTAGGCCCTGAGGCTGCCACCCAGGGGCCCAGGAGTGAGGCAGAAAAGGGTGGAGCATCTTCTTTGGCTTTTTAAACTTAGCACTAGCTCATACTCCGTGTTCCTGATCAAAGTCTAAGGTCCTTATGGGCCTGTGCTGTGTCTTGCTTATTCTTCTGTCTCCTACAGCATGTGGGCAGTGCCCTGTGCATAGTAGGCACTCAATAAATAAACGTCTGTTATATTAAACAGTCATTTCAAGATCAGGGTGCCAGCACGGTTAGCTCCTGGTAAGGGCCGCCTTCTCACTTTGGCCCCACATGGCAGAGAGAGGAAGCAGGCTCTCTAGTGTCTCTTCTTATAAGGACACAAATCCCCTCTTAGGGGGGCCCACCCTCATAACCTCATTGAAACCTAATTGGCTCCCAAAGGTCCCATTTCCAGATACCACTGGATGCCGGGGCTTCAACACATGTATTTTGGGGATATATAATTCTGTCCATAGCAGTACCCAAAAAGTGAAATAAGAAACCAGTTGTCGGCCAGGTACAGTGGCTCACGCCTGTAATTCCAACACTGGGAGGCCGAGGCAGGTGGATCACGAGGTCAAGAGATCAAGACCATCCTGGCCAACACAGTGAAACCCTGTCTCTACTAAAAATACAAAGATTAGTTGGGCATGATGGAGTGCACCTGTGGTCCCAGCTACTCGAGAGGCTGAGGCAAGAGAATCACTTGAACCCGGGAGGCAGAGGTTGCAATGAGCCAAGATCACGCCACTGCACTCCAGCCTGGTGACAGAGCGAGACTCCGTCTCAAAACAAACAAACAAAACAAAAAAAACAAAAAAACAACAAAAAAAACCCAACAGATACTGAAATAACTTTCCTAATATCTGGTGAGTATGCTTGGAATGGAGTAATTTTCATAAAGGCAATGTATTTTCAAATCATGACCTGGAAGCTAGTTTAGAAATAACTCTTCTCTTCTAGCCCTGTATCCCTATCAGACAGCCTTTCCCTCCCTCCCACACTTCAGTGCCTGGTGTTCTGTGGTCATTTCGGTAGTGACAGACCAAGGTGAATAACATGTTAACAATACAAACATCTACCATGACTTTATGCCTAATGCTCTGGTGTACTTCTTTAGATTGGCAGATACCTTTTTTTTTTTTTTTTTTGAGACAGAGTCTTGCTCTGTCATCCAGGTTGGCGTGCAGTGGCGTGATCTTGGCTCACTGCAACCTCTGCCTCGTGGGTTCAAGCGATTCTCCTTCCTCGGCCTCCCAAGTAGCTGGGATTACTAAAAATACAAAAATTAGCCAGGCATGGTGGCACACGTCTGTAATCATAGCCCTTTGGGAGGCTGAGGCAGGTGGATCACTTGAAGCCAGGAGTCAGAGACCAGCCTGGCTAACATGGTGAAACCCCATCTTTCCTAAAAATAAAAAAAAAATAAAAAATAAAAGAAATTAGCCATGCATGTTGGCATATGCCTGTAATCTCAGAGGTGGAGACATGAGAATTGCTTGAATCCAGGAGGCAGACGTTGCAGTGAGCAAAGATCATGCCACTGTGCCCCAGCCTGGATGACAGAGCAAGACTCCATCTCAATTAAAAAATAAATAAATAAATAAATATAAATTAAATAAATATAAAAACCTTCTAGGAAATAATAAAACAGAAGATCTCTATCTGTTGATAACCCTTGACTTGGCTGTGTGCTCATCAGTGTCATTGTCTATTTGTTTGGGTTTATAAAAATCATTTGCTTCAAAATACTTGAGCTTTGTGACATTTCATTGAAAAAATTATGGAAACCTGAGATTGCATATTTTAGGAAAAGCAGTTTCTCATCATTTATCCTTATTCCATTGTATTCTCCTTGCAGCCCAAGCTGTTGGCCAAGGAGCTTCTTGACCTTGTGGCTTCTCACTTCAATCTGAAGGAAAAGGAGTACTTTGGAATAGCATTCACAGATGAAACGTAAGTACTGCCTTGAGCCCCCACAGCCCGAAGGGGAAGTCAGTGCAGAACCCGAAACTGCTCCACTCCAGCTGTCAGTGGCGGAATCAGCTGCAGGCCACTTGGGTCCCATGGTCTGGGGTCAGTCCAAGTTCATCATCCGAATTTCAAAGGCCTTGTGGTCATGCCTGGTACAGCCAAAGGATATAATTAGGGTGATGCTAATATTATAAAATTATTAGGTAAACTGGTTCTTCTAATCAAGCAGGTTTGTGTTCAGACTGAAATGTTTATTTTTTTAAGTGGATCTATGTGGGTTTGCTTTTTGTTTAAGTTAAATGAAAACTTCTGGAAATGAAACATTGCTCTCTACTGTTGGGATAACAATAACAGGAAGTGAATTTGATGATAAATTCAAAATGAAAATAAGCTGTACAGTTTCAGTGTCTAAACTGAAATACAGCAACTATGAAAATTAAAAATTCAGATCATTTATCTGATGAGAAGAATATTTGCTTTCAAGGGTCTTTTCAGTTTGGCTCTATAAAGTGGTGTTTTGTAATAAGAGTAAGGAAAATCCTTACTAAAATTTCCATTTTCTTTTTCGTGTACTGTTATCAAAAGAGTATGGTGAATACCTGTATAGATTTCTAGATAAAAATGAGGTATTCTAAGAAAATAGTTCATAATTCTCTTTCCTCTGTGCACACACAGTCACACACACACACACACTCACACACTCTCTCTCTCTCACTCTCTCTCTTCCAGATCTTCAGAATTACAGAGATGATTTCCTAAACTACTAATAGATCAGTGTTAGGTTAGTGGCCGGGCAAGACAGTACAGGGGAGCCCAGGCCCCGGGAATCAGGTGGTGCCATTGAAGCAAGAACAGGTGGGCATCCACATGGGCCAGTGAGGGAGGCGACCAGATGTCCCTGCACGTGGCTATACTTGACCTTGGCGAGCTGCAAGTGGACAGGGTGGTCCTATGACTTATTATCCAAACTGAGACACTGAACAAAAGGGGGTGTCATTGGGACTGTCTTGGGCAAGCTGGACCATCTGGTCACCCTGTCAATCAGGAACATTTCAGGCTGTGGTGTGTTCAGAGAGCAGGCAGCAGGAGCAAAGCCACATCATCCTCAAGAAAGCTGGGAGGAGCAAGGTGGGCCCCTTGTCCTGGAGCCTGCAGGGAACTGGAACGCAGGTGGGAGTGACCGTCAGTGGGCAGGAGGAATCGCAGGCAGGGCCAAGTAAGCCCAGCTGGGAAAAGTTCAGGGCTGTGAGGGGAAGGACTCAGCACTACAGTTTTTTAAAAGCTTTTCAACAAATGCACATGTAGAACAATCACTTTTACAAATGTAGATTATTCTCTCCCCTTTCTCCTGAGAATCACTGTAAACCACTTAAATTGCTGTTGAGACTGTTTTCACTAATCAGAAGGAAACCCTAAGTTTCAATTAATCATAGCCCCATTGTTCACATTTCCCATGTAAGTTTTTACTAAAAGATCCCATGAACTCTAGAGGAGACCCGATTAGGCTTTCCTTTTGAATAAACAAGAACTGAAAAATGAGCGCGTGATCCTGGGCTGAAGGGGAAGATGATGTGCGTCTGCAGAACATTTCGGATCACTGCCCTAACAGCACTGATGGGTAGGAATCGGACCTAGGTAGAAAGTCACTCATCTCCCAGGAAGGTTGAGAGCACCAAAGCCACACATCACAGCAGGGACCGCACACAGCCAAGTCCAGCTTCCCTATCCAGCTAAGCCGGTACACTCCAGGTCTCAGCTCTCCTGGCTCTCCGTGCTGACCAGGAAAGCATGTGCATGTGTGCGTGCATGCATGCGTGCATAGAAACCAGGCTGGATAAAAGTATCTTGCCCTGTCTAGTAGTGGAGCTGGCTTCGTGGAGGCTCTGTGGGGGGCAGTGATAAAAAGGAGTGAGCCATCCTTCTGGCATGATCCAGAGAAAGTGCAGCCACTTCGATCACCTGCCCCAGAGTCTAGGTGGGAGGGTCTCTCCGGCCATAGAAGGAGTGGCAGCCAGCCAGCAGGAGGTCACTGGAAAATCGCTGGAGCTGGCAAAATATTTCTGGAAAAGAACTGGCAGATGTGCCTGGTGCATCAGGGGAAAGGGCAGGTGTCAGGAGCCCAGAGGAGGTGAAGAGCTAGCGCCTTCAAGGCTGGGCAGTAGGGAGGCCACGACTCAGGGGCTGTCAGTCCTGGCAGGACAATGCCAGGGGCCAACAGACATTGTGAGTGTCTCTTTGGTTGTCTGAACTTTTCTCCTTTACCTGGTAGGAAAGAAGAATAAAAACTTCCCCTGCAAAATAGTGCCCTTGGGTGTCACCTGCTCTGGCTTGGTGATTCCTAGGTAGTAAGCGCTAGCCTAACAGTACTACCTCCCCCAGCCTTGCTCTGTATCACGGGACACTACAGCAAGATTGTTTTATGATCGTGTTTTCTAATTCTACATGTGTATTGTGAGCGTGTGTGTGTCTGCTTTATACAGGTGCTACACTGTGTGTTTTATAGTAAAATGCAATCGTAGTTCCATTCTTTGTGACAGCCTGTGGTGTATCACATGTACTTGTCTATTTCCTAATGCAAATAAAATAAGACTAACACGTGGAAAGCACTTATAAACTGTAAAGTGCCATATATGTGCACGATACTCTTACCAGCAGCATGATCATTACTAAGAGTAGAATTTCTAATAGTGGGCTGGGCGCGGTGGCTCACACCTGTAATCCCAGCACTTTGGGAGGCCGAGGCGAGAAGATCACCTGAGGTCAGGAGTTCAAGACCAGCCTGGCCAACATGGTGAAACCCTATCTCTACTAAAAATACAAAAATCAGTCAGGCGTGGTGGCATGCACCCGTAATCCTAGCTCTTTGGGAGACTGAGGCAGGAGAATCGCTTGAACCTGGGAGGCAGAGGTTGCAGTGAGCTGAGATTGTTCCACTGCACTTCCAGCCTCCACTCCAGTCCAACACAGTGAGACTCTGTCTCCAAAAAAAAAAAAAGAATTTCTAAATAGTAGAATGTGTGACTCTAGGCCATATATTGTCAGACGTTTTCAGAATTAACTGCTTTTGACATTTTGTGGGATCCAGATGAAACTGGAGAAAATATATATGAAGCAGAATGTAGACAGGAAATTGGAAACTTCTCTAAGCTTCTCTCACCCCATAAGTTGTATTCATTAATAAAGCATCTAAGTCACAGTATAAGAACTTATGCCCAAGAATGTTTAATATTGTTAGCAATCAACAGTTTTGCAGCATTAATACTAGGCCTGCTTTCTCTTTTTTTAATCTTTTAACTTAAATTTTGAAATAGACTTAAAGAAGAATTGCAATCATTAGAGAGTTCCTTTACACCCTCTGCCCAACTTCAACAGATGTCAACATCTTGCAAATGATGTTACTTTAATCAAAAGTAAGAAATGAACATTGGTATTATATTACTAACTAAACTACAGACCTGATTCCAATTTCGCCAGTTTTTTTTTTTTTTTTTTTTTACAAATGCTGTATTCTGTACCAGGATTCATTTGCATTTGGCCTCCTTTTACTTTTACTAACTCTGTCCTCATAAAAAGAGATACAGGTGGTCATCTATATAAATTATCTGAATCATGGTGACATATGCAAACAATGACATTTTGGCAGCCTTTAAAACATTCTGAAACTAACCAAGAGCCAGGTATAAATCTGATGTTAAAATAATTATTGGCTGGGCACGATGGCTCATGCCTGTAATCCCAGCACCTTGGGAGGCCAAGGTGGGCAGATCACGAGGTCAGGAGATCGAGACCATCCTGGCTAACACAGTGAAACCCCCCCGCCCCGTCTCTACTAAAAATACAAAAAATTATCCAGGCGTGGTGTCACACGCCTGTAATCCCAGTAACTTGGGAGGTTGAGGCAGGAGAATCTGAACCTGAATGCAGGAGGCAGAGGTTGCAGTGAGCCGAAGTCATGCCACTGCACTCCAGCCTGGGCAACAGAGCGAGACTCTGTCTCAAAAAATAAAAAAAAAATTTATATTTTGCTGGAGTTATGGATCTCAACCTTAGCTACACATTGGAATTACCTGGGAAACTTTATAAAATACCAGTGCCTGGGACCTACCCCCCAGAAATTCCAGTGGAATCGGCCTGGGTGTGACCTGAGCATTAATTTTCAAAGCTTCTTCAGTTGATTCTAGTGTACAGGCAAATTTGAAAACCCCTATTCTAGACAGTGGGAATGTTGCAGTATTTGTTTTGCTCTCTCCCTCCAGAGCAAAGAAGAAAAGCTGATTGTACTTCAGCATTGAATGTTGAGGGCTAGCAACGACTCATCCCAGGAGCCTGTAAAGTTACAGACTATCTCCCTTCTAACTTCCGTTCCTAACAGTATGAGAACCAGCTCAGAAGTTCAGGTTTAATGTTTCCAGGTGTACAAATAGGGTAACTGAGATTTTCATTTATCAAACACTGGCATCCATCCCTTAGAGAAACTCATTTTTACATTTTATTTTTGAAATATTTCTATTGCTGTTTTAAGACCCACATTTCAATTTTTTTTTTTTTCACTTGTGGGCTGAGTGCAGTGGCTCATGCCTATAATTTCAGCAATTTGGGAGTCCAAGGTGGGAGGATTCCTTGAAGCCAGGAGGAGTTCAAGACCAGCCAGGGCAATAGCAAGACCCCATCTCTACCACAAAAAAAAAAAAAAAAATTGTTGCTCACGCTTGTAATCCCAGCACTTTGGGAGGCTAAGGTGGCAGATCACTTGAGGTCAGGAGTTCGAGACCAGCCTTCCCAACGTGGTGAAACCCCGTCTCTACTAAAAATATAGAAATTAAGTGGGTGTGGTGGTGTGTGCCTGTAATTCCAGCTACTCGGGAGGCTGACACATGAGTATTGCTTGAACCCAGGAGGTCACGGTTGCAGTGAGCCGAGATCACACCATGTACTCTAGCCTGGGTGACAGAGTGAGAATCTAACAATAAATAAATAAATAA